GGCTGCCAGATTCCTGGAGGTCATCCGACAAAATCAATGATGTAGAAGCGCCGAAGGCGCTAGATGTCGAGGCACAATCACTCTCGCGGTAAAAGGGCAAAAAGACGATCACGCTTTAGGACTCAGCTCTAGCTCCTGCCCCCCAAGCACCCGTGGTGGCGCCATCCCTGCCCTTAAAACATCAAACCAACCATTAAATTTTCTTTAAACCGAAAGTCGAAGGAATGGCGAATGCATATTCCCGCCATAACCTATCGTTTACAAGCCCCTTCGCCTCATAATTCCGATTTTGAAATTGGTCGGCTTAGGCCCGTGGTCACTATGAGCCGCCATTTTGACCTACTGTTTCCATACTTTTGCGACCCCAGTGTATAAGATAAAGCAAATTGTACTTGTCTAAAGAAGTCGATTTTTTACAATTTATTGAACATGTCTTTATTTTTACAATTTGGTAAAATTGCAATCGAAAATCTCAACCAGCAATCTCGCTATGCCCCACCAATTTTATACGTTGTTCTTTGAGAAAAGGGTTAACCACATTTGCTTTGAGGCGATGGTCCTAATACTTTTGTCACGAAAGTGTATATTTCTCTGTAGACAAATTCTAGTATTAGGTATAAGCGTCAAAGAATCTGGCATAAGATCATGTAAATAAGTAGCAATTTAGCGCACATGAAAAAACACCAAAATTTCATTCTAAAATGATTGGTATAATGAAGTTTCATATGAGAAGTTTTATGAATCGCACGCTTTGAAGCGTTATTTCGTTCGGAAATGCCAATAATACAGCTAAAACACCACATTTTTGCTACGACAAATGGATCTTTTTCCACGGGGCTTTTCCATAACAAGGCGCTCATCCTATTCGGGAAGATATTATCGGTCAACGTTGCCTGTTTGTTGTTTTCTAGACGATCGTAATTCTTGAAGGATCGTTGCCTATAAAAATTGTATTAAGGACTCAAGAGAAAAAATACACCCATTTTGTTTGATAACTTCACTATAAGAAAGAAATACTGGACAATTCGATAAAATGTCGCTCAAAAAGTCACTCAAAGAAAAATAGCTATGAAACAACTGACTTTTGAAAAAGGCAAAATTTAACATTTCTTGTTTATAATACTTCACAAGTTACAGAAATTCCACAACTGATCATGCATGTAAGAAATTTATTTTATATAAAAATAAGACTTATTGTTTTAAAATCATGGTATCATTGGCGCTATGAATACAACAATTAAGATCCTTCCAAAATATTCTAAAACCAGTAGCAAGAAATTTGATAGGATTTTTCAGCATTCATTTTTCTTTATGAGGAAGGGGGGCTTATAAAAAATTATCTCCGAAAGAATTAATCTACTGTTGTGAACGATGCCACATTAATGACTAGAGTCATTCATGATTTCACTGAACTATTATAATGGTCCACCTGTAGCGTTGATTCAGAGTGTTTAGGACATGGTCCACCTGTGCAAGCATCAAACTCAGCACGCTTTTCGAAGAATATGAACTAGTACCCAAGCCCCTGGTGAAGAGACTTCCTCGCTGTCTTGTGATCTCTTGGAAGTACTTGAATCAGTCATGGCAGACTTTGCAGCAGTTTTTAGGTTTGTTGGTCTTTGATATTAGCTTTATTATTAAACCTTTTAGCACGTGCTTAGCTATTTACCTTTTGCATCTTTGGATGATTGTAAGCACTTGTTTTACTAGGCCACCCAAAGTTGTAATTGATACGAAGCAAATGGATCCGTTTCTGTTTCGATAAAGTCATCTTCAATTAATCCTAGAAACGATTCTGCAAATTTGCATTACAACTAGTTACTAACAAATAACTATGCTACACAAAGATATAAAACTTTCAAAAATGAAGAGGAAGGTCTTAATAATTTTATGTAAATAATTGAGGAGGAGCTCTATTAATAGGTTAACTGATCTTCAAAAGAGAGCACCCCCCGGGGGAGAGCCACCCCATCAAAACAATAAATCTTTATCATTTTTTCTTTGAAAAATAAAAAAGGAAAGCGTTTCCAGATGTTTTGCAAAGAGACTGATGACAAGAATATCAAGACTTTGGAATCCTAGGATATAAGATATGTGCCCCTAAACAACAATAGATACATGTGAATTATATGATATTTCAATTTGCAATAACATGTATGTTGGTCTAAAAGCAACAATTCACAATCTGCAAGTGCTTTAAAGTCTTACACCAAAAGACAAAATTCATCTCATGCAGGACCTATTTGCAAAAAAGGCTATTTGCAAAACCTTAGGCTGCACATAGAATTAGGGTCAGTATCACGCTGCCCCGTTCAGAGGTAAGGCCCTATATGACGATGCCATATTTGAAAAAAGAAGAAAACAGCAAATTAAAGACCAGCCAGAGATTTTGTCCAAATCTAATTAAATTATCTACAGAGTTTTGTTTGCACTGTTAAGTTGCAAGAACAACAGCTTCAGACAGGTTCAGAAAAGGTTCAGACAGAAATCCAGTCTCCTATCAATATTTCTTTTGTTCCAAAGTATCCAAGGCTTTCAAATCATCACTCAAAGCACTGGCAGTGCCAGACACTACAAAACAAAAGAGTTTAGGCCACGCCCTTTTAACTCTAGAAAACGCCTTTTTATAAACAAGGAAGGCCAATTTTACCTGAGAGGAACGTCCATAACTAACTGTTGCCTATGTAGAGGCAGTTTGAATGCAAAGATGACATCAAAAAATGTTGCCAAAATATTACCCCTCCCTCAACATTTTCTCATCAAATTTAGACCCCCACCCCCCCCCCCCCGGGTCGCGCCTACTGACTCAAAGTAACAGTTTGCAGTATCTTATCTAAGGTGCGCTATTGAAACAGGTAATTATGAAAACCTGTGAAACCCTGTGCCCATACACTTAAGTGACAAAAGTATTAGGATGAGAAAAGTAACAAAATCTCAGGGAGAACTGGAAAATATCAACGTTTTAGTTTCAATGCCGAAAACACCAAAACGACCAGAAAGAGAACGAGAAGCAATAAAATATTTGGGTCTAGCGAGTCATTTGTTTGCTGAAACTACAAGAAAGTTTGGTTGCAGCCAGTCTACTACACATGCTGTTTACACGAACAATAAGTTATTAATGCTGACTAAAATTAAAAGAATGGTAGGCCAGGGAAGGCCGACTATTGGATGGGCCTAATGGCATCTGCAAATTGGCATTGTGTACAAAGTCAATCAATGCTGAATATTTTGTCCAATTATTTGTGGAAAGTCCCCAGGCAAGTACAGAAACAACTAATGATTCTTTGCAAAGACTATTTATTTTCAAGCAAGACATTAAACCTTGTTATGTTGCAATTGTGAAACAAATTTCCAATAACAATAACATAATGATCTTTCAATAACTCCGTCAAAGTCAAAGCCTTGATGTAATTGAAAACAAGTGGTTTTCATTAAAAAATATAAGAAATGGAATCTTCTAAGACCAAGAATAAGCTATTTTTAAAATTTTATTGAGATTTCCTCCTGTTTCTGAAGCTTTTTCGTTGCAAAATCAATTTAGCGAGTTCCAATGCAAATGGCGGCTGCCTAGATTTTTGGAGGCCATCTGACATAATGTAGAATAAAGCAAATGTTACTTGTCTAAAAAGTTTACTTTTTTGCAATTTATTAAATTTATGTTTATTTCTACAATCGGATGAAATTGCAATCAAAAATCTCAACCAGCAATCTTGTTATGTTCCACTAATTTTCTTTGTTGTTCTTTGAGCAAAGGATTAACCACATATGCTTCAAGGCGATCGTCCTAATTCTATTGTCACATAAGTGTATGTTGTCTTTATGCAAAGAAAACCAATAGCTTAAAAGTAATCAGCATTCATATTCATAATTAGAAAGCATGGAGGCATGATCATCATATATCACAACTGTGACAAAATGCAATATGGATGCCAATTTGAGGTCTTATACTGACTAAATATTATTTCTTGGAATAATTCATGGAAACATTATTTCTTGGTACACCTCTAAGAATTTTCTTATGACAACACTATATGCAACCTGCTTATTGCATAATTGTGTGTGAAAATTGATCTTTCTCAAAGGAAAGTTAAATTTCTCTTTTAGATTCCAACAAAATATTTCATAAGTGAATAATGTTCTATAAGCATGCTGAATTTCAGCTTCATGCAAGCTGTTCCTTTTGATGCTTCATCTTCATTTCTTAAATAGATCTGCAGTTTAAAATTTCAACATTGAGTCAAAACCAAAACCCCTGTTTATGATTAAAAAATAAAGCAAATCTGAATTGGTGGGTGTCATTTGGCATGGACTGAAAAGACCCTGGAGTAAAATTTTAACATTTTAATTAAACTTTACTAGCCTTATCAATTATCACAACCAGTGCACGCTGTTTATATCAATTTTGTATTTATCAGTATAACACAGGGTACCTATGAACAAGAAAAGGGGAACAAAAAAGGAGGCAGAAGCTAGATGATTGATATGAGACTAGTATGGAACTTTAGTTTGTGTCTACTTGGGAATTAGAATCAAACTGTTAGTGTCAGAAGAATTCCTTAGCTGATAGTTTACTCTGCTTGTTAAACAGCAAAATAATCTGCTCAAAATTACAACAGATATGTGCTTTATAGGGTCATTGAATATAACCCTTATATATCAATTGCAGGGCTGGCAAAACCAGGGGAGGGGGCCAGGGGGGCATGGCACCCCACTTTTCTGCAGAGCTAAAGAAAAATTTTAGGCAAAATTGGAAATAAATGTAGTATGATTCTGTAAGCAACTTTGCCTAGTATCTCTTAAATGTGTTCTTAGCTTTACCTTGGTTGCTATGTCTTTATCATAGAAGACATACATAAAATTGAATATGGGAATTAGATCAAAGAAATCGGTTGTTGTCTAAGATTTGCAATGAGTAACAGCTTGGCTTAGCAAATAGATCAAGGAAACCTAGTCAAAAATAACTGGGTACCAGCACAAATTTACAGAGTTTCGTTTTTTCCATTGCCTAAACTTGGCACACAAGGTCTATTTGTTAACAAAAACTTTCTCAGAAACATTTCAAAAAGAGAGAAATCAGCTGTTGAAGGAAAAGAAACAGCTAAAAAAAACTTTTTTGAGGCTATGAAAAGTATCATCAAGAAAACTTCAAAGCTTGATCATTAAGATAATCCATTCCTACTGAGAAAGAGAAAATATCCACGCAATTATAAATTCTATTCAAACTCATTTTGATAAGCCCAGTTTTAAGGTTTTTCAAATTTTTGTTAAAGCACTTTAGTATCCGAATAAGTTTTTACTGATCAGATGTTACAAAGTTGTATCTTAACTGTACAAAATTGCTTAACTTTTTATTTTTAGTTGATAGTTCTTCTGTTGATATTTCAACGTTAACGTTTTTTATTAATCTGTGTTTCATAAATTTTTCTCCCCCGTCCTATTTCGGGTACTTTTAAAATCTAAAAAAGGTTTCATTACAAGCTATATGATAGGTGGTTATTATTCATCTTCGCAAAACTTTTCTATTCAAAGTCAACATTACAATAGATGCGACCATGTGACACTTTCAGTCCAAATTCATTTTAGATACAGTTTCTGGCTATCCCTAAGACACCATAATTCTAAAATTTTTCTTGCCACCAACTATGGTGGTGGCCTTTACTAAGTCCTTTCAAGACTTTGATGTTTGGCCCCTCCACTTTCAAATACATTTTGCTATCCCTGAATTGGCTCACCCGTTGAAAGTTATTTTGTTGGTTGTTATCTTTACCAAAACCATATAAGTACAATATCTTATGGTTATCTGCTGTCTGTTATGGCATTTTTTCCTTCAGAGTTGGACTAAGTGCTCTTTAAAGTTTTTAGATGTTTTTTTAAAAAGTTTCTAATATATAGTGGTTTTAGATAGGGCAGCTACGATTGACTTTATTATTGTAGAATCATTGATTGATTTGCATTTAAGTTCATACAAAAGGTCTTACTGGTTGAATTAGAAAGTTTATCAGTACATTAAATGCAAAACTGTTGACCAGAAATAATGATTTGAATACTCATCTTCACTCGTGTTTTTCACGTGTAATTTTTGCCTCACAGCTGGTATCTGACACACCAACGTATCAATTTTGCTGTATTGTATTACTGCTAGTTTCTTATTATTGTTTTTGTTATAAATAAGTAAAAAGTTTTTGTAATCTGCAACATCTGCTCGTGTCACAATACTTGGCCATTCATTCTACAGTATTGGGAAGTTATGGAAATTTTTTCCCTTCAGGATTGATATGAAATATAATCTTGTTAGTCTGTTCAATTCTAAAAAAATAATTAGCATGTTCAATTCTGCATTTTCAGAAAATTTGTCCTTTTTCACACTAAATAACCCATACAACATTTTTTCTGTGTTGGAAACAACTTATATCCTGGGCCTAGCATTTGATAAGCAAACTGTTTACAACTTGACAAATGTTATTACAGCCCTCCCTGTTGCTTTTTAAATTAATCTTTTCTTCTTTGAGCAAATATATTCTTGTCTTTAGCCATATTGATGCACATATTGATGATTATGTAAAGAAACTTGGTGACTGGGTTGCAATAAAAAGTGTTTCTGCATGGGCTGAGACTCGTCAGGATGTATTTCGCATGATCCAACATGTAGCAAAGGTTTGAGAGTTATGTCTCACTTCACAAAATCTTGTTTATGTTAGTCTAATACCCATAACCAATTGAGTGTATTTTCACTTTTTACTTACCTGAAAATGTGTAATCAGGCTAAACAACGCCCAAAGTCTTCTTTCAATAACTGGAAGCCTAAAGCTTCATATACTTTTGTGTGAATTTTGTCACAGTAAAATTGACTGTAAATATTATTATGGTAATTATGGCTGAAACTGTGTTTGAGATTTTAATGAAAAATAGGACTTATAGAAAATAGGCAAAGCGGTCTAATAAAGTTGAGTTAAACTTATTTGAAAATGAAAGCTGTTTCGATTTTCGCGCTTGTTCAGGCCTCAAATATCAACATATTAACATATTTTGGTAGGAGCTGGAAACACTTGGAGCACAAGTTGAACTTGCTGAGAACCCTCTTGGTAAGCAGAAGATGCCTGATGGCAGTGAGATACCTTTGCCTCCAATACTGTTGGCAACACTTGGTAATAACCCTGCTAAACATACGGTGAGTAATCACATACAGCTGTACTTGGGTACAACATAACAGCATTTATAGCGTAGTATGTCCAGAAAAATGTCTTTTATCTTTTTTCAGAGAGTCTTTTGATAGAGAGGTACGTGGATAAGGGTTTGCTACAAGAACAGATTTAACTGTCAATTTTAACCTTCAGCCACGTGATAAAAACCAAGCCTTTATTATGCTGTTTCTATAATAAACAATTTTGATTTGCGGCTCAGTATTGGACCTAAGATGTTTTTAATTACTGCCTAAAATCTCTGATTGAGACATCCTTTGATTTCACATAGACAACACCTTGTGTTCGCGGTCCAAATCATACTCATTTGGGTGACACGCCCGACTTAGTAGACCATAATTGTGACCTTGACTCTCCTCCATCCAAAAGAATTATGATATTAAAAAATTCCGATTGAAGGATTTGTTTTCATTTTCCTTTTGCTTACTTATATTTCTAACTTATAAAATAGTTGTGGAATTCGACTGAAACAAGCTTGAAAACTCAACAATGTTCTCGCTTGGTATTCAAATCTATATTTTTAATTGTTTTACCACTTGCTTTATCTTGATTTAAGTCATTCATCGTATCTGAACTGTAAAAAAGCTAAGTTTTATAGTATAGTTTTGTAATATGTATATATTGTTATTGAATTGGTTTAAAAAACTATCTATATTATGAAAATTCAGCATTTTAAATTTTTCTCTACTGCTGTACTTCAGTAAGCCAGCTTGATTAAAAAACATTCTGAGCGCTATATGCCACAGGCCATCAGCTCTAAATGTGTGTTTATTCTTTGGAATTTTTTATAATTTTACTTTCTTTAACAGATTTGTGTGTATGGCCATCTAGACGTCCAGCCAGCAAAATTGGTAAGTTTTGTATCTTTGAGATTCGTTGAAAAAGTCCCCATGCCTCTAAAGAGCGTGCAAACACTTATCTGCCAAAGCTTAGAATATTGTGAAACATCTGTTTTGTTGTTTTAGGTCCTCAGTAACTCTACTCCACCAGCATTTCATTTGGATTTCCAACAAAACTCTATTGTGTATTTGAATGTATCTTAAATTTGTATGCATTAGGTACAGACTTACGACCTAGGTGTGTTACTGGATTTGCAGAAATCCTTTGTCAAAAAACTGTAGGGCCATATCGGCTAAGGAGCAATTAACGGCATCATAGATGGCGCCCACTGGCTGTAGTTGGCGATATTTACATCTTTAAAGAGATTTTCCTCTCCTTTTAGAGAAAAATTAACTCCTTTCCATTCCCTGGATGGCCAATCCAACTGGGAACTTGGATTTGGAACTTTAATATTTGGAAAACTACACTTCTTCATGAACTACCTAGGCTCAGTGCTTTGGTAGTTGGTTTTTCGGTCTCCTGGATTCCTCTAGTTTTCCCATTTGATAAATCTATTAGAGTCATACTTTTCTTTTCCTGTTTGAGACATTGCTTACATTCTCTGAGACATTCCCCACGTTTTTGGAATTCATCTTTGTGTATCTAACCTGGGGATTATATTAGAAAGGTATACAGGAACAAAGCAATACGACGACGAGAATCCAATGTCACGAAATAAATTTTCAAAATAAATTAAATTTAAGAGTATACTAATATTTCGCCCCGGCATACAGGGCTTCATCAGAGTAAATGAAACAAATTGTATTTTAGTTTACTTTTTTAATATTCCCGTGACTGCAGACCCCGATCGCCAATTGAATTTAAGTGTCAATATATGGCAACTCCTGAAGTGATAGAGTCAGAAAATGAGAAATCACAACTGTAAGCGCGACATTTGATGGTAGGTTATAAAGAAAGCTGCGTATGTGTATATGGATAGTTTTTAAAGGATGGAATAGAAAACATGAAAGTTAGTCAACGTCTACGAGGGATTGATCCCAACTGATACGGATCGGCCCTCCGTTCACACTGAGACGGTCGAAATCTATGTGCGATCTGTGCTAATGTCGGTTCGCTCTGGAGTTCGTTCCAGTTAGGGATCGATACCTTCCCTTGTTAACGGGCTAAAAAGATGGGATCAATCCAAAATTGATACGGATAGGAAACGAGGCAAATGAATTACCCAATTTGAAGTGCTTTGAATATGGCGCTTCGACCTTGACAAAAATTGAATAAAAATTCCAATAGTGTGGCTCGAATTGCATCGTAATCTGAGACCCCGATTACATAATGTCGGTACCATGCTGGTATGATTTGACGCCAGCATGAAACCATGCCGGTATAGGTTAATCCTTAGTTTTCTTGCGCCCTGTTTACACTATACCGGTATGATATCATATCGCTGGAGAAAAACAGTAGCCGATATGTTAATCATTGCCCTAGTGTGCACTTGTCCAATTGTGGGCTTGCACATTGACTCCCAAAAAGGTTCAAAAATAGGTGTAAACAAAGAACTGAAACTCAATATGGAATTAAATGCGAAGCATAACAAAAACGGAAGAATGATATGAGATAATAAAACAGGCACTACGACATTGTCCAAAAATTCTGCAATTAGCTATCTTCAGAATCACTAAGGTTTTCGATTTCAATTAGCTTTCTGTCCTTTTTGCTGAGAATTGTTGAGTAACCGACTCACTCGAACGGCTGTTATAGTGAGCAGTTGTTTGCAAGATGGGTGGTAAGTTTATTTGTAGGAGAGCAGCAGTAATTTTGACTTGAACACGAGATACCGCCAACTTGTTTGTTGTTTTATATGAATTGGCGCACTTTTCTCAGTGAAAATTATACTCGCTTTCAATATTTTTAGCCTCGAGGAGAAAGCGACATGAAATGATATCGGTACTATGCCGGGATAAAAAAAATTGACGGTGGCTGTATATAATGTGCTTAGTACACAATAAAAGTGTTCCACTTTGGACCGCAGTTGATAATTTGTATAGGTGCATCATCTTGGTGGATGTTCATGAAAATAAACACCAGCGCGATGACAAGAAATTACTGAAGTCAGTTTTTCAATTCTTCTTGTTTTTAGGACGATGGTTGGGACACAGAGCCTTTTACTCTCGTTGAGAAAGATGGGAAACTTTTTGGGAGAGGATCAACCGACGATAAGGTGCAGATACTCTTTTTGTATGCTTTTTTTCGACTACATTTTGACCTGGCTTTTCCACTTTTATGGTCAATCAAGTTAGATTTTTATCCCAGGAAACCGAGTGGAAGATGGCTGTAATTGTGGCATTCTTTCCTAACGTTTTATCAATGGCGGACACCTAAGGGGCAAGGGGGAGGCGGTCGCCCCCCAATACTTTGGAGGACGATGGTCTTTTGTTCTCCTCCACGAAATTTTTATACTCGACAACATAGGCCACGTTCCTGCAAACATGAATAGGCAGGGATCTGTCCATTGGCGGAGTTTTTTTCTGTAGATACTTAAACTATGTTTCAAGGTTAAAATCAGTTTTTTACAAGTAGCAAGAAAAAATAATGGAGTTCCATTAATTTATCTTGGTATAAAGGATAATGCTTTTGCTTTTAAAGTAATTTTATCTTCGAAAGGTTGTGTGCGTCTTCGGAATTTAATTTGATGCACTATCTCAGTTGGAATTCGTCAGTCGCAAGTCAATCTTTTCAAATGTCTGTTTTCAGGGCCCGGTTCTTGCATGGCTCAATGTGCTCGAGGCTTACAAGAAATTAGGCAGAGAGGTCCCCGTGAATTTGAAGGTATTTTTTGCTATCTAGTAAAGCTGTTTCATTATCTGTGATGACGTCATTAGAATACGCACAATTCTACAGATGTGTCTTTTAACATGATATCAAGTTCAAGATGAAGATCAGCTTTTACAAGTAGAAGATCATTTTATCTTTTTTGTAGATATGTTTTGAGGGTATGGAGGAAAGCGGTAGTGAAGGTCTAGAAGAACTCATAATGGCAAGAAAGGACACTTTCTTCAAAGTAAGTACATTTCTGTCTAAATACTGAAATGCCAGGTTATGTTGAGCTAATAATTAATAGGAATTTTATTATTCATTCATTAGAAAAGTTACTTGTAGGAACATCTGCACAAAAAATTTGTTCACAAAGAAATCGTGTGACTTTGAGTCAGCAAAGCAATTTCTAATTAGACCTTCTTTATTGGCTAAGGTGTCGTGATTTATATCAATAGGCACATATATAAGGAAGTTGGCACAGGCTAGTTTTCATCTCCGAGGTGATGGCGTACAAACATAGCTCTGTTCCGAAATAATACTGTGGTCATCACTGTGGAACTGAAACTGAAAAACGTGTTTATAAGTTTCAAATAAGAAGCCAGCTCACCTGAGTGGAATGAATCTCGTTCTCTTGTAAACGCTTGCGAAAGAGATCGCACCCATGGAAACCATTCCACAAAGCATCATTTATGAGGGCAATTTTCCTTGACAAGTTTCCATGACAAATGTCCGTGCTCGTGCAGATTGGCAACGTGTATACTGGTGGCGTCACAGATTTTCTTGATATTTTTTGCGTTCTTCATTTTGCGTTCTGCACTGCTCTTTGCTATTAAGAATTTTAGTCAAACGACTCAGTTAACATACAGAAACTTTATTTGTATCAAACCAGTAGTTTTGTTTCTGTATCCTAATGAAATAGTCAAAAAGCAAAAAAAGGAATGTGATAGACAAACCAACATTCTAGGCGGGGAAAGGGCTTAATGGAAATATGGTTGAAGAGCTGAAAGGTATAAGATCCAAGTATCGACCAAAAACCCAAGTTGGTTTGTTTGTCAAAACCTGTCTGGCGCACTGATGACCGTAAAACTGCACGACATGATTGTCCTAGAGAGGAGTTAAAGACTCATTGCTAACAATGAGCCATTGCGCTACGTAAGCATCCCATAATGCATTTTTAGACTCTCTAGAATCACTTTTGGTTAATCCGTAGAAAATTACTGCCATTGTTTGGACCGTCGCCACGCTCGCAAAGGCCCATTGTTAGCAATGAATCTTTAAATGGCAAATACTAAGTTGTCTACACGGGAAAGTTTCCCAATTGACTTAGCTACTTGACAAGTCTGTTTTTAATGTACACTCGTCATTCGTCACTCGTCACGTGACCTTCTAGCTGTGAAAGTAGGATTTTTACGCTAGATTTGTGATATGTAGTTTTGTATTCTAGGATGTCGATTTTATTTGCATCTCTGACAATTACTGGCTTGGAAAGCAGAAGCCATGCATTACATATGGTCTGCGGTGTGTATTCATAACCCTATCTCGATGACTGTATTTCCTTCATCCGTTTGCATTGTTTCATGAATCTGTAGATTCCAAGCCTCCACTTTTGTCTAGATTTTCGCACTGATTATTTATCGGTTTTCGAAAACTGAAAACGTGTACAGAAATATACTCCACAGAGTTCATTTTAGAGGAGAACTATTATATTTGTATGCAGTTTGTCCTTGAGTCCTTCAAATCACAGCTCAACAGAAAAACCTGCAGTGCAGTTTCATGTAATAGGATCTTTTATTTGATATTTCGTTTCAATGGTTTCTTGTTTCTTTTTAGGGGAGTCTGTTATTTTTTTGCTGAAATTACCTGTGCCAAGCAAGATTTACACTCTGGAGTTTTCGGTGGTTGTGTGTGAGTTCTCATGCAAATATATTTTTGTTCAAAATTTCGGCGTCCTATTTATAATTACAAATATTAAGTTTTTCTTTCTGCTGAGCTCTAATATGGTACGGGTAATTGTCGCACAGTACTGGGAACTGTTGTTCTGCTTCACCAGCTTGGCATTTATCTTATGACAAATAACGCCCTCTGTTTTGCCTAGCCTCGAACAGATGTATACTCTGACAAACATCTCATTTTCCTGAAAAAACGGTAGTAACAATATCCTTTCCTCGTGGCGCTTTTTTAGAAAACACAGCATCGTTTAAATACCTCTGGCAGTGGCGTAGCAGAGTCATCCGGTGCCGTAAGGAAAATTGAGGCGGGGTCCCTACTAATAGACGAAAGTCCCATCCAACGCTGAGGAGCATGTCAAACACAATATCAGGATGTATAAATTATAGTATTTTCTCGTTAACTTGGGGGGGGGGGTTGGGGAGTAGCTGAGTTATAGAAGCTTCAGGTGAAGAACTTTTATAGTTGTTAAAAATGGAATGAACTTGAGTGAAGCCATAAAAACATGGATATGAAATAATTGTGTGCCTTTTTTGGTCGGGGGTCCTTAGCTAAGGTGCCCTAAACTGCATTACGCCCTAATTTGCGTTACGCCCTAAACTGCGTTACGCCCTCAACTGCGTTACGCCTTCAACTGCGTTACGCCTTCAACTGCGTTACGCCTTCAACTGCTTTACGCCTTCAACTGCGTTACGCCTTCAACTGCGTTATGCCTTCAACTGCGTTACGCCCTCGACTGCGTTACGCCCTCGACTGCGTTACGCCTTCGACTGCTTTACGCCCTCGACTGCGTTACGCCCTTAACTGTTTAACGCCCTAAACTTCTTTACGCCCTAAACTGCGCTACGCCACTGCTTGTTGGGTTAGGGAGTCTTCTTATGAGGAGACGACCCTCTTCTCAAAAATAAAAGAGCACGCGGGTTGTGATCAATCATTATTACCCAGGTATTTTGATCCCCAAAGGAGGGGCTGAGTCCCCCATTAGTACCTTTTTGATTGTTCTTCTCCCCAATTGATCAATTTGTATTTTAATACGCAGACAATTGAAGAAAATATTGAATCCTGCTGCTTTTTCTTTTCCCGTTCATTGGTTGATTCAAGATAATTGAAAATACATTTTGCTTTCCTTTTTGCCATTATTTTGTAATAATTCATTGCCATCACTTTTCTGGTATGCCAGTGGTAGATAGTGGAGATACCGTAAATCCTCGAATGGCCCCCCTCCAAAAACACCCCCCCCCTTAGATAAGTTCACACCCTAGAACTACAAATTGTCATTAAGGCCCCCCTCGAATAAGCCCCCACTGCTACTGTAAATCCTTGAATTGACCCCCTTAAATTTGATGATTTTTGCCATCTGAGGTTGTCTTTGGCATTTTATTGAATTACCTCAAAAATTCATACTTTTGCTGAGAATTAATTAAATGCTCATAAAGAAGTTCCCGCTTAAATAAACGAGGTCTTTTAATAATTTCTTCTTAATGTCTACAATAACTTTATAAGTCCCCCCCCCCACGTATAAGCCCTCCCTTCGAATAAGCCCCCATCCAAAAATTTCAAAAATGAATAAGCCCCCAGGGGGCTAATTCGAGGATTTACGGTATGTCAGATCCAAAGCAGCTTTTCTTTACTGCTAAAATTAGTGCATTAATTTAGATAATTCGGTGGGAAATGCCCTGCTGCTGGTCGGTCGCTGATTTTTATTCCAATAAATGATTCATCTAATAAACACCACATTGTTCTCAAACGGTAATTTTAAAGATATAATCTTGCTGACCTTGAGGTTTGCTAAAACGGACCAAAACAGCTTTTCCATTCCAATCAGAAAGTAGCTTCTCTAGCCATGTTTTTGTTATCCAACTGATAGATGTGTCAAAGAAGCGTTTGAGAAATTCAATATTTATTGTGCGGCGTTTTCTCCCTGTTATTAAATCTCAGCATTGGTGAGAATCACCAAGGATGACATACAAAAGGGTAAACACTAGCTAACTAAATTTCTTATCAGAATATTAACAATTATTTCATCGGGCAACTCCAATTGACAGTTGAGACCAAGATTGTGTAAATTCTTTAAGAAATGAAAAATTCCCTGATTTAACATTTGTGTTGTCTTATGATTTGCTTAAATGAGGTATAAACTGTTTTTATTCACGAAGGCACGAGGCCATGACGGATTTGGTGAATGTTTTTGCAAGTCTTGTTGATAACCAAGGCAGAATCAAGATCGCTGGCATCAACGACTCAGTCAAAGAGCTGACGGACGAGGAGAGAGCTATGTACAAGACTATCCAGTTTGATCTGGTAGTTCTATTAACCATTTAAAATATAGATTTGACAGGGTATCCTCTTTTCGTGAATGAAATCATATAGTCTGGTACATGTAACGAGGGTGGTCCCCTTATTATGAAATCCTTTAGCATGGTAAATGTTGAGAGGCTTTCCCTCTTATAATGTTATATATAATCTTTCTATTATTTGTGCTTTCTATGAAATGTTGAACGAAAAGACATCATATCTCTGCTAGTTTTATTAACCATTTAAAATATAGATTTAATAGCAAGAACATATATTAATATACGTTTTGGATAGAGGAACAGATTATGTTAGTTGGAGGCACATATATAAAAGTAATATATTTTTACAATACCTGGTTGAAGGCTCTCGTCATTTCACAAAATTTTACAATCAAATAGAAATCCAAAAAATTAGCTAATCAATCATATCCTTTTAAATTGCTGTCAATCTGGACCTAGATACGATTCCCCGTCCTCTGAGGTCGGGAATAAGCAGTGATTGGGGTGATAGGTTTGATGCTACTTACGGAGATGGCCAAATCAGAAATCTAATAAGCAGGGGGTCTGATAAACGGGAGAAGGGGGCTTGGCATTTTCTAAGGCAAAAATTTTGTTGAATGTAATTGCAGGGATGTTTTAAATTTCATGTCAAACGTTTGGTCAAACGGTTGGAGGGGGGGGGGGGTTGGCCCGAGTCTTTCCACGAGGTACCCTCTTAAGTACACTGTAAGTAGTAGGTAGTGTAAGTAGAAAAGCGGAAACATGGCTTACTAATTGTATGACATTTTCCGTGCTATTTTCAGATCTTATCAAAATAACGAATGAATAAGGCGCATTTTCGCTTCCTAGGAAGAATGCCGGGATGATCTTGGGGCAAAGAAGCTGATTCACGAGGGACTTGATGATGGAAAGGAGAAGACCCTGATGCATCGCTGGAGATACCCCTCACTGTCCCTCCATGGTATGTTTGCTTCTGCATTTCTTACACGCTGCTGTCCTTTACACCCTGCTGCCCCTCAAACCCTGCTGCCCCTAACACCCTGCTACCCCTTACACCTTGCTGCCCCTAACACCCTGCTGCCCCTAACACCCTGCTGCCCCTCACAACCTGCTACCCCTTACACCCTGCTGCTCCTAACCCCTTGCTGCCCTGATGCCCTACAGCCCACTTGTAAGAAGCTTAGCCCGTGTATTCTAGTATCCCTGGAGGCTCAATAACAGTGCTGATCTTACTTTTTTTGTTTGACTCTCGCATCTTCATAGGGTAGCCTTAAAGGTTTGTAGGAGCTGAATGATTTTTGACTATGTTTTAAAGCTTGTCTTCGTTGTTCATTATACCAAGAGCTTTTACTCTCAAAGTCTACCCAGAAAAAGCATACGTCCTAGATTGTCAAACATAACACCGCACATTTCCTTTTTTTACAGTAGACTTGCTACCGAACAAGATACTGAACAGTAACAGCTGTAAATGTTGATTTTGTTTTCAAAATGGAATCGCTTCCTTTTGAAAATGGCCTTCACATCTAAAGTCATGTTTTGTGGTGAATCTAGAGCAACCAATGAATTGACACTCTAAATGAATGAATGTTTTCCAAACCTGTTTTGCGCAGATGTTGCCTGCTTGCATTTTTCCACTAAAGTGGATGTAGATTTTTTAGGGAGATAAGGCTTATTAGCAAACATAAGGCGTGCAAAGCTACAAAGACGCGAATCAATGCAATCTGTTTCATATTCAAAGGATAAGGATGAATTATTTTTATAGCAAGCTTTATTCAACGAAAGTCGTCAAACTCGAAAGTCGTTTTGTGTCACTTGATCGAGAGCCGCATTTATGATAAAGTGAACTGGCTAGAGTTGATTTTATTATTTTTTTATTAAATTCTTATTCCAACACAATATCCCATCAGAAACCTAAATACAAAGTATGATAAGCTAAAAAACTAATAATGGAAGACAAAATTTTAAAAAATTATTTGAGAATATGAGTGAATTGAATTTGACATCTGATCTTCCTGGGAGTCGGTTTTAAATCAGGTTTCCTGAGCTCTTCAGATGAGCTTTTGATTTTCGTTTGAATTGATAGATTGAGGAGATTTCCCTTGGTTCTATGGGTATTTTGTTCCAAGCTTTAAGCCCAGAGAGGTGAAATCCTTTTTGTATACTCTCAAGCTTAAATTATGGGATGTCGAGATTTCTATTGTTTCTTGTGTTGTAACTGGAAATTTCAATCCTCTGATTATACTTGTTCCAGAGGCTCTCAGGGCACTGCTTATTAACTATTTTGTGTGTGATGATAGATTTATCAAAAGAGATGATCTGATAAGCAATTAACCAATCACTGTTCCAGGGGCCCGAAACCAGGATGGCCGATCCTACAGAGTGAAAGCACAAACAGTCATCTTCTGTTTCAGCTCTAACAGCCCTTCCCAATTATTTATATAATTTTTCTTTTACATTAAGACATGTAACAACAACCAAGAGATAAAGAAACATTATTTTGATTTTTTTCTAAATTGCAATTCTATTAACGAGCTAGCAAAGGGAATAAGATTTTGCTTGTTTTCTTAGTTGTAGAAAAATTGAATCTCCATAGTTTTAGAAAAATTGAATCATCACCTTTTGATCGAAACTCTTTAGGAAACCTATGAATGATTCATTTAACCTACGAATCAATTTTCAAGCTTGTTTAACAGAAAAATAAAAATGCTTTGAAAAATGCTTTTTAAATTTGTAGATAACTCACAAATAACAACACGATACGTCAATAGAATCAAGTATGATACAGTCAGCAGTTTGTAGCATAATTTCATCGTTCTATTCCTTCGTCGCGCGCAAGCTTGCGTCGAGTCGCACGCAAACTAGGTTTTTTCACGTGAGTGTTGTCGTGTCGTCGTGTATGAGTGTTACCGATGCAAGAGTAGAAATGTCAATCAATTGAAGATGAGTCGTTTTTTCGCAACAAAAAGGTCAATTTGGAGTTTTTTGTGTGTTAGGTAAGAGTCAATAAAACTGTGCAAATCTGCTACACAGCAGGGGAATAGAGATAGAACTATCTGCTGCAGAAACGGTTCATAAGAATATACAATTATCATTTGAAAAGAGTACCGTTAAATACTTGGGTTCTGAAGACGTTGATTTCAAAATTATGATATTGTCTATTTCTTACAGGTATTGAGGGAGCCTTTGATGCTCCTGGAGCAAAAACTGTAATACCGAAACGAGTAAGTTCTCTTAGGATAAAATCGCTTGAAACCTTATTCGATTTTGTTGGCGCTTAATTATCTTGTTGTTGTATAATCAGAGAAAAGGGTTTGGTATGGTAAATGTAGACAGGGTATCCTCTTATCGTGAATGAAATCATATAGTCTGGTACATGTAACGAGGGTGGTCCCCTTATTATGAAATCCTTTAGCATGGTAAATGTTGAGAGGCTTTCCCTCTTATAATGATATATATAATCTTTCTATTATTTGTGCTAGCTATGAAATGTTGAACAAAAAGACATCATATCTCTGCTATTTTACTTCGAATACGGAGGGAAATGGTGCTAGGGTTAGGGTTAGGGTTAGGGTTAGGGTTAGGGTTAGGGTAAGGGTTAGGGTTAGGATTTTTCAAGTATAGAATCTAATTGAAAAGTATACCAGTTCTACTTAAGATTCGTATTCGTGAAATCAATAGTGCCAAACGAGTTGCTTGATAAAAGGAATAAAAATGCACAAGTTTTCTTTGTAAACCATCAAGTAGCCCATACGTTTCCAAAACTTTGTATCCCGCACTTGATTTTGATGATATTCCTTAAGCTCCTTGCTGTAGAATTTTATTGTGAGTCTTGTGAGGTAATGTAAGGCTGGGTTTCTGAAACACAATGGCTGCTTTTCAAATTTAGATATAATTGTTCTTTTCAGGTGATTGGAAAATTTTCAATAAGAATTGTTCCGAATCAAACTCCTGAAGAAATTGAGAAGTTGGTTAAAAAGCACTGCGAAAGTGTGCACAAAGATAGTGGAAGCCCCAATCAGCTGAAAGTAACAATGGGGCATGGTGGCAAACCTTGGATGAGTGATCCCAACCATCCACATTATGTTGCTGGGCGAAATGCAACCAAGCTAGGTATAGATACGGGATCTTTAAGATTTGACTGTTTATATCTTATTTTAAAACACTTTGTTTAGCCCTGGAACTCATTGTTTAGAATGGTAAGGATTTGTAGTGAGGTCGCTATGTTGCAATGTCTCTACAGCCTTGCATCACCAAGGCCTGACATCTTACATTAAATAGCCTGACATCATAAATGAAATTTTAACATTAAGAAATAAATGCTTTATTTAAAAATATAAAGTTTTGCGTTAGAAAAAGGCCCAATTTTCAATGTGGTCCTTGAATATATTTATAGCTGTGTATGATAGAGAACTAGAATTATAATTGTAAATCATGCTATGTGCTTGATTACTACATTAAGCCTGTTTAGTTTATCAAAAGATGCTATTCCCAATCGGCCGTTATCATTTTTGTGCCTTTATTTTAGCCAATGTATATGTCTACTAATGTGTTTTATAAGACTGCCTTTGCATGAATCTAGCTCTCATTGCCAGTTTTTGAACATTTTCTCCGATTTTATTTTGTCCTGTTTATTTTTAGAGTCTTTGACTGTAGCCAAATCAGGCCACTTAATCGGGTCGGCTTGTGTTCTCATGACTTCAAATCAATATAGATGAATCCCATTAAGTCGACACCTGGATAACTCGGACTTTCATCAAGTCAGACTGGCCTTCAATTACCATTGACTTTTCCTACCCTATTCTTGTCAAAAGTCGTAGTCCAGATAGGTTGGACATTCGCTAAGTCAGATAATTTTCCTATTATTAAAGGTCCGACCTGACGAACGACTCCGACCTAATTTTCCTATTATGTTCCTATTCAGATAATTAAAGGTCCGACCTGACGGGATCAACTGTATTTGTAAGAATAAACCCTTCAAACCCCTTTGTAACTACATATTCTTTTCAGCCAAAGCTATGGATTTTTATTGATGCTTTGCATATTCAGGTCCAAATCAAGTTTTATTAGAGGTATTCTTAATTTCAATAGATTAATTGGGAAAATTTTTCGCAACTGAAAATTTTTTAAGGGGGGGGGGGGGCGTGATATAGAGAAGAGTTTCCCTATCAATACTTGACAATGGATCTTACAGACCCCCCTATCTCGGTAGATATGTTTATGATCTAAGTAAGTTTGTCAGCTGCTCAACGCAAACACTTTTTCAAATTTGCGTATTAATGTTACTGATGGCAAAAAATGATGTGTATTAAGATATATTGATCGCATAAGACTAACATTTAAATTAGGTAAAAGACTTGTATAGCCCTAATTGTTTTGCTTGTATGAATTGAACTTTTCTGTCTACAGTGCACAACGTGGAACCAGATATGACTCGTGAAGGAGGAAGCATTCCAGTGACCCTGGTTTTCCAAGAAGCAACTGGAAAAAATGTCATGCTATTACCAATGGGGTGTGCAGATGACGGTGCACATTCACAAAACGAGAAGATCAACAAGTCAAACTTTCTAAACGGGGTGAGTTTCAACTATTATCATTCTCAGGTTAAGTTACAACAGTCTTCCAGTTAGATGAACTGGAGGGGAGGGGAAATGGAAGGGAAAGGGAAGGTGAGGGGGAAAGGCAGGGTAGGGGGAGGGGGAGGAGGGCAAGGGGAGGGAGAGGGGGCAGGGGAGGGATGAGGGGAGGGGAGGGCAAGGGGAAGGGAGAAGGAGGGGAGGGAGAGGGGGAGGGGAGGGGGAGGTGGGACCTGTTGCTCTAATGATTGTGTATCAGGAATCAGTGTTTGTTAGAAAGCGAGAAACTTTATCGGATATGCTAATGTTTATATGAAGAAATCCTGATTGCCTTTAACGCCTTGAGTCCTTTTTTACAAAATCCGTTTTTGTTGGATATTGCTTTCATAAAACGCCGTATTGCCTTGCACCTAACTTTGAAAAAAACCATTCTAAGCTAACCATACTGTAAATAATTTTATAATAATAATAATAATAATAACGTTTAGCGTAATGAACTTCTAAAACAGTACATCTATTCTATGGCACGCCCTTTGTAGTGCAACTTACGAAGCATTCACCTAAATTCTATCATATCACATTTGTTGAGTACATTACGCAGTGGCAGTAGTAGTTATAGTCAAGCTTTATGCTTTATGCTATATAGCCTGATGGAGGTTTCGCAAATGCTACTGTTGCTGAACTGGCTATCTTTAATTATATTCGTAGATTTTAGGCCACTATGACGTGGATTAAGTAAAAATCCCATCAATAATGCAAATAAATGGTAAAATTTTCAATTCTCGGCGCATTCTGTAATGGATTTTTATGTCATCAGTTAATCCTATAGCGCAAAATATTCTCTGATTGCTCAAGGTTGAAAAAATACAGTTAATCAATAAAGAGACGGCGAAGGCTTCCAAATTTGAAATTTCTAGAAGAATGAGCTGTAAAGCATATATTGAGCGTAGAAATTACTAAAAATGACGCTCAAAATTAGAAGAAAATAGGGAGGCTTCTTGAGAAATGAGGGTCGTAACGAAAAAAGCTTAACATTAATATTACAAAAAATGATTGATGAAAACAGACAAAAATAAGGTTAAATTTACAAGAAATGAAGGTTGGAAATATATAGGGTTGGTGTATACGGTATTATTATTTATTTATTATTTTTATTTTATAATATTTATACAGGTTAAAGGTTCATACATATGTTTTTCAACCTCTATTGTTCATAGGTTCATACATATATTGATGCGAATATAAGCCGCATACCTCCCTAAAAATTTTTTGTGCCTGCGAGCACAAACTGTTTTGCAAGAGTTGCCTGCAAGATTTTTTCTTACGCATTGCGTAGTATATTTTTTGAAAAAAGAGACATATTTTCACCCAAGCCCTGCCCCCGTCGCTTATTTTCACCCAAGTTCTATCATATTACATTTGTTGAGTACATTACGCAGTGGCAGTAGTAGTTATAGTCAAGCTTTATGCTTTATGCTATATAGCCTGATGGAGGTTTCGCAAATGCTACTGTTGCTGAACTGGCTATCTTTAATTATATTCGTAGGTTTTAGGCCACTGTGACGTGGATTAAGTAAAAATCCCATCAATAATGCAAATAAAGTCAGTCGTCTAATTGCTCCTTTTGCCATATGCCAGAAACGTTAATTCAGATTGTTGCAAGCTGCAAAACATATCACGAAAAAGGCCGTTGCACATGGCGCCATATTTCTGCATTAAACTTCCTAGCACAATCTTTAAAAGCTATACCTAATTGCTCTCTTTACGCAGATCTTTCAGGTTATCTCTCACCCTCTATCATAACAGGAGACTCTTTCCGGCCTGATCTACTTCTAGTCACTTCTGACCATCGGCTATTCATACTCGAGCTTACAGTAGGATACGAAACTAACTTGGATGTTAATGCTAACCGCAAAAGAGAGAAATACTCGAATCTCATTCACAGCCCAAGCTCAGCCTATTCTTCTATCATGTTTGTTAATTTTTTCTATCAGTTCCCTAGGTATCTTTGGTCTCTCCTGCTTCTCTTTTATCGACATGTGCAACGCTCTAGATATCAGCGAGAATCATCTCCGCTTCATGATCTCCAAACTATCCAATTTAACTATCCGTACTACCTATTACATTTTCTGCCGCAGAAATAAATCTTGGAATAATCCTAAACTTCTTCAATTCTAACGATCTCTGCTACTGACAACTTCTAAAAAGAACAATGACGAACAAATTTTTTCCTTTCCTTTAATTTATTTGTTTGTGCTTGTAAACGTCTTTTTCTTTGTAAACCCTGGCTAGCCAATTGCAAATTACCTTGTAATAGTGAAATTTGTAATTGTAGTTTTAATTGAATTGGAAAAAGAAAAGTTTCCTTTATTATCAATGCACCCAGAGGCTCTTTTTAAACGTTTTCAATCAAGCATTTCATTAAGAATTTTAAAGCATCTGAAAAAACATTTAAATTTTGTTTCGAACTTACAAACTTACATTATTACATTTACAAACTGTGACAGTTAGAGGCACTATGGGAATATAAACAATGACCTTAAGTAATAGAACCAGGTTTTTACCTTAAACCTCGACTTGTGAGCATAGGCGTAGACTTGCATTTTTTCAGGGAGGGGGGGGGGGGCCCAA